ACGACCCACAGATTGCGAGTCGAGCGCCCTAGCCACTTGGTTTAGAACTTATCTTGGGGGGGGGGGGCTTTTTGTTTTAATGTAAAGTTGACGCACCAGGGGGACTTTGCGATTTGCAAATATATTGTTAAACAGCAGGTGTGTGGCTTACGAATTTATTAGCTATTCAGATGCTGATAAAACAACAAGTACTTACTTTGCACATTCTTAATGTAGGTACTTCAGATAATTGATACTTATGAAATATTCATTTCACAAGTGAACTTCAAAGTGAACATTTCATTTGGTAAAACAAACATTTTTTTTCATTTTTATTTTATCTTCCAATCAAACTTTTTTTTTCTCCCGATTATTGGAACAAAAATCTAATTTATAAAAAGATGATCATTACCTTATGTTTGTTGCTGAATGAGGGAAGTAGGTTCTTGTAGAAAGTATTTAATACGAGTGTTGTTTATAACTCACTGTATAGGTTAAGTAGAATGTTAAAAAAATTATTGTTCGTAATAAATTGTTTAGTTTCAGTAGAATGTCGAACAAGAACTGTTCTTTATAATAAATTGGTTAGTTTCAGTAGAATGTTGAACACAAGAACTGTTCTTCGAGACCAATTGGTTAGTTTCAGTAGAATGTTGAACACAAGAACTGTTCTTTATAATAAATTGGTTAGTTTCAGTAGAATGTCGAACAAGAACTGTTCTTCGAGACCAATTGTTTAGTTTCAATAGAATGTTGAATGATAAGTATTGTTCGTAATAAATTGTTTAGTTTTAGTAGAATGTTGAACACAAGAACTGTTTTTCGAGACCAATTGTTTAGTTTCAATAGAATGTCGAACAAGAACTATTCTTTATAATAAATTGGTTAGTTTCAGTAGAATGTTGAACACATTTTTTCCGAACATTGTGTTGCCCCAGAGATGGGTCATATCATTTAGAAGTTGTATCATTCACTACATTAGCAAAGCTTGAAAACGAAGTTAGTCCTTGTTCCGTTCTGTTACTCGTGTCCTGTATCACAGTGGAGTCGAGTGCGAGCAGGAGATATTAATAAACAACAAGAAACAAGGTTATACTCCATATGGTGCGATATTTAGTTGCAGACTATCAGTCATCGGAAGCAGGGATAACGAGCGCTGTTTCGAACCCCAGGTGGCTACTTATGTTGTTTCCAATATTCCAGACGAATAACTTTGTCTAGAGTGTATATATACACACACACATATATAAGGCGTTTAAGCCTAACACACACCTACATAGCATTACAACTGCCAACATATATAGATATAGTTTTTTTACGAACTTATGACTTCGTATAATGATTTTGAAAGCGGATTAATTTCCTGTTATGACACCTGATCCAAGAAAAAAAAAACATGACAACAAAAAGACTAGTTAAATATTTCGGAACTTGGAAGTGTGTTTTTCTGTTAGTTGCGAAACCTCTCGCTTCACACATGGATTACAACAGAAAGTTAACATTTTGTACAGTCATTGCAGGCTTTTAAAACAACATTAGCAGCTTCTAATATTTAGAATTAAATATTAGAATTAAATTCTAATTAATTATTTTGGAAATTTAATGTTTTTATTTTTGCTGTCGTGTTATAAAATTGTTGAACATTTAGTTAAGGGTTAAAATTAATTTATCAAGACTAAATCCAAAGTGCACCATTTAGTGGATGGCATATCTGTGGATTCAACACTAACTGATTGAAATATGTACAAATATAATTTGGTCTTAAAATTTAAACATGATTAACTATATAAACAGTTTTTTATTTCTATTCGTTGGGGGAGGGAAGGAGCTAGCTTAACTGTTAAACTTTAAACTCTCATGTTTATATTGATGCTGATAAGAGCGCCAACTCAAGTTTTAAAGTCGAGGCGTGAGTATTGTTTTAATTATGAAATATCATGCTGTAAAATGAAAGAACTGACACGTGACAATTTTCCCGCCAAAAAAAAAAAAAAAGGAGGAAAATATACATATTTTTATGGAGTTATTTTGTTAATATTGGGAATTATATCCAATGTTGGATACATACATATGTCATTTCTTATACAAAGAAATATAGCGTGAAATATTAATGATTCTGAACGATGAATATTATATAATTCTAATTTTATTTTGTTGTTTTTAAAGAAGTGTGACATAGTGGCGCTCCAGTCGCTTAAACATAGACGAGAGTATCATTCTAGTGAAACTAGATTATAAAGAAGAGGTTATTGTCGATATTGTAGATAATATTGTTGTTTTGTAATTCTGATTATTAATATGTGTAAGCGTGGTATAGACGTTGCATTGTTGCAGAGTATGTAGTATTATATGTTTGTGATCTTATCAACAATAAACGTAAAATTTCTTGAATTTTTTGTATTTTCTATTTATGACAAAGCTGTCAAGTTTATCTGTTGCTGTCACTAATTTTGAAGTACTGACTAGGAGGGAAGGCAGCCAGCCGCCAGTCAGTGGCACTTTATTACCCACCATTCACGCTAAGGCATTGACTGTTTTTCTTATAACGCAGCAATAGCTTAAAAAGTAATGCGGGTAATATTGTGTGGTACCGCACGGATTCGAAATTGGCTCGCATTTATCTGAAAATTAGATTTTATTATTTTTGTGCAGCTCATCATTGGTTGAATGATTCAAAGAAGACGAAATCCAATTACGTACAAAAAAAAAACTGACAAAATTAACTATATGCCTGTTTTGAATTTCGCGCAAATGTACATGAGGGCTATCTGCGCTAGCCGTCCCTAATTTAGCAGTGTAAGACTAGAGAGAAGA